CATTGGCCCTTTTCCAGTCCTCCGGGACTTGGCCCATGCGCCACGAGCGTTCGAATATTCCCGCCAGTGGCTCTGCAATGATGTCGGCCAGTGCCTTCAGTACCCTCGGATGGAGCTCATCCAGGCCTGCCGACTTAAAGGCATCCAGTTCTTCTGTCCTCCAACCCTATGGCCAGCAGTCCAGTAGTTCTTCTATCCTGAATCACAAAGAACCTTCTGCTCCTATCTGCCACTCAGTATGGGGATGGGTGCAAAAGGCCAAGTGATTTCTATTCAAGTGGAAGTTCAGAATAAAATGAACAGACCTGGAGAGGAAAGGTAAAATGGCAGAGGGATGATATAAAAAGGGAGATGATGGCAGAAAAATGTCTATTTGTGAAACTCTGCATAACTCAAGTAGAGACTATGCATCATTTTTTCTTGGCTGCTAACACCATTGCCCAAGATGCCTTGAAAACAGATAGAGCATGTTATATCAGGCCTTCAGTTGCATTGTCCTACACAATGTTGAGTCCCAGTCCTCTATTATCCTCTATACATTAGATATGAACTACAAACTACACTGAATGAACAAGACAAAAGTGTGAACATAAAAATAAGCGCTACTGGGTTTCTTAGTGGGGTGGTCAAAAGGGAAACTGAGCAGAGCAACCCCAGGCACTGCCGTTGCAGGGGGAACTGCAAAAAATAGTCTCTGCTGCAGCAAGCAATTGGCTGCATCACCACCACTGGCAGCATATCAGATGGAGCTTCTCTGTGCAAAGCTGATGCCCTGCTATGCATCTAGCTTCTCTGTGCAAAGCTGATGCCCTGCTACACATCTGGTGGGTGTGTGTGTGTGTGTGTGTGTGTGTGTGTGTGTGCGCGCGCGCGCACGCGCGTGCGTGCATGCACACTCATGTATGCACATGCACACTGCTACGTTGAGGTTTACTTCTTGCAGAAAAGAGAAGTAAACCTTAATCCCCTGCAAATATCCAAACTAAGAAACTACTTGAAATATCCTTCTAGTTTCCCATACAAGATACAAAAGTTAATTCCAAATTTTTAAGCCAAAATGTTCAAATGATTTTAGATGCTTCTATTATGGGGAGGATCAGTTTGAGATACTTTCCAGGGACTGTGTATTCAAAAGGGCTAAACACCTATTCACAGAGTACCAGAGCCCTCTACAGTGTCTCACTTTTGTAAAATTTAATTTGTTTGGTAGCTTTAAAATGGGAAGCTAATTGGAAAATTTGGGGAGTTTAAAAAGAGAGCTCTTAAGAGACACATTTTTTGTCAATTTAATGCCTAAAAAACCTGCCACATTTTTAAATTTATATTTAAGTATATTAAATTCCCTCCTATACATTTAGAAACAATAAGAACATATTCAGATCATTACCTTTAAGTATAAGATGTCCATAGGAAGCTTAAATGTGTATATATGTATTATAATTGATATAGAAACAATGCAAAGATATTTAGCTTTGTACCAGCTCTGACACGGTCATAGGAAGGTTAGAAATGTTACCCCAGCCTCCAACTGATGTTCATTTTTTCCACAGCAAAAACTGAATCTGATCCTATGATGGGATTACTGGTTATAATACAAGGACAAATACATTTTCAAATGGAATCACTTGGGAGCTATATATTTCTAGTTTATGTCTCTGGTAGCCTGATAGACGTACTGTATTGAATGTACAATGGCATACAGTAGTGTAACTGCAAGAGTGAGGAAGCGTGATGGGGACAACTGGTCAAGGTGCCAAAGCAGGGCAGGTGGTAGGAAGAGTCTGTTGCTGGCAGCCACCTCTTTGTGTTTGCAACCATGGTACTAACTGGAATTTGTTGCTATCTCTTTGCTCCAGACACCTAGCTGCACCCCTACATATCTATCTTACATATATATGTATGTATGTTTCTGTGTGTGTGTGTGTGTGTGTGTGTGTATATGCACATGTGTATATATGCACATGTGTATATATGCACATGTATATGTACACATAACTGTACATGCAGTTACAGTTATGTGTGTGTGTGTATACACATGCACACACATGCGCACATACATACATATGTGTGTGTATGTGTGTGTATACATATATATGTATATACATATTTGTAATAGTTATATTTTTCAGAAAGGGGTTCTAATTCCTTTTAAATCCTTCAAAAGTAATCTACTTAATACTATGCTTTTTAGAAAGCATTTGGGTATTATACATTTTCTCACTTCTGCTCTCATTCTGTTTAGGGCATGTATGAGATTAGTTCCTCTGTGACCACAACATGACTAACACAACCCACATATAACAGTAAGAATCAACTTCAATATTTTGAGGGAAACACCTTTCTTGTGTTTTGAACCATACTTTTAATAGTACCAAAACATATATCCAGATATTTCTGAGGACAGAATTTCTACTTGGCAAAGTGTTTTGAGATTTTTAGAACTTGACCTTTGTTTTCAAACAAATTCTCGCTCCTCCAGCCCTCACACACACCCCCCCCCCCCAAATTCTAACTTTTCCACAAAGTTACATTTCAGTAAAAATACTTTTGCATTGCTCAAAATATTTCATTTTGATATCATTTATTGTATACTATATTTTATATAAATGTATTCTACAAAAAGTCATTTAAATTAAAAAAAAAAAATTTAAGTAAAAAAATCAACATGACTCTTTCCAAAACTATTCAGACGTTTGAATATTATAGGAAATGTTTTGAGCAGTAGTACAAACCATAAATGTATATTCTGATCTTAGCTTCCTACTCTATTGATCTGAAATATTATTGGGCCCAGTTTTCAATTGGTGTAAATCTATGGCAATTTTCATGAATTGAGGAGCTAGTCCAACAAATTAATGCAATGCTAGGGATGAATTTAAGTTTAGGTGCTTGACTATAATATTTGCTTTTAAGAAGCATGTATATTAAGTGGTACAGGAAGATCAAGAAAACAGCCTTGCTGATTCAAGTATTTTCGCTGTCTAATTAAATGAGATTAGAAAGTAAAAAACAATTATATATTATAACTAAATCTGAGCCACATTATGATAATAAAAGACTGATAAATGCAAGAGAGCAGGAAGTAATTAGTAAATTCTACAATTGCTGAATAAATTAAAAGAAGACTTACAATATTATACAAAGAAGAGACCCTCCAGCAAATCAAAATACCATTAATAGGGAATTATCCCATTTCTCTACAATAATTTGTCTACTTATACAAAGAGAAAACTTTGAGGACATGGGAATAACTAGTTTCCAAGTTCTTGATCTTGCAGCAAGGTATACAAGCAAAGTCTGCTGCACAGCATCAAACTATTGACTTCAAGTGTTGCCTGTCTAGAACTCACTGCAAGATCAGGACCCAGTAAGATACTCTGCATCCTAAACATAATATTCTTTGGAACAGAAGCTGGGGTTTTTTTTGCACTCTGGGTGCAATGCAAATACTTTAATTGACAGTGGGAGCTCCTGAAAGCATTGTACCTGTAGCAAACCCAATGGTGCAAACAGATGTTGTATTTATCCTAGAATAAATCATTTTAGCCCAGGACAAAGCCCATGTCCATTGGCCTGGGATAAATAAAGAAAAGGGTCCCAAATAAGAGGTAGTAACAGTTTATCCTGGGATATTGCAAAGTACATCTGTACAGTTATCTTGAGATTGAATCAATGGCAGAAAAGCACTGCTTCACTGCTTTCTAAACCCTCATTAGAAGGGTGATGTGTGTACATGTCAATCAAGAAATATTTTTGTTTTATACAAGTCCAGAAACTACTTATCCAGGGACAAATGCAACAGCTGTTCCTAGCCACAGATTTCTAGGGCCTGTTAAGACAAATGTGGACATGTAGTATGCAGTGTTGCAGTGCTATATACCGCACATGCAGGCACTCCCTGTGCTGCTACTTTGCAGCATGGGGGAGGAGGAGGTTTGAAGCCAGGAGATCCTGGGGTCATAATACCTGTGCATGTGGCAGCAGCATGTGCTGCCCAGAACTGGAGCCTGGCTGGCCAGAGCCACACTCCAGTTGTTGGGCAGGCTCCATGTTGCAGGACTGATACAACTGCAGCTCCTGGAGGCCCCCTAGACCCCAGGTAAGGCTGCTGGAGTCAGCACAGTTGCTGGCCCCAGCCTCCCCTACCCCACCCAGGGTAACGTGCTGCATACCAGAGCATGTGTGGCATGGGAGTTCCCCGGGGACAAGTGGCACACCTTGTGCTGCTGCTGTCTGTCCCCAGGGAAACGCACATTCCCGCTCATGGGGATACACCCCTGGAGTGAAATGTGAGCTGCTTGTATACCCTTTAAAAGGGGGTCAGCAGATGAGGGGGTGAGGAGAAGTCATTAGTAGCTTTACCTCTTGTGGAGCCATACTAAAAACTCCATTCATGCTCTGTATGCTACACGCTGAAACAGATGTGATATAGCTGCCTTAGTAAATGCCATAGATGCATGGCATTAAGCTCTCCAAGATGCCCAGCATTAAAGCAAGGGACCCACATTATATCTGCTTTGGGGTGTAATGCACATGACATGCTTTACTGTGGCACTCCCTAGTAAGCTTCTTTGATGGTGCAGATATGCCCTTCCTGTCCATTTGGATGGGCCAGTCTGGTACCTGCACAACCTGTACGAAATCCACGTACTCTCTAAGTGTTAGGACCAGAAGCATGTCCAACCTCTGCAGGTATGCACCATGGGTGAAGGAGACTCCTTTAATTCTCCTGTCCACATCATGAAGCAAGAACTCAATTTAGCCTGCGGGGGCCCAACTAAAACCAGAAACTAAGCATGCCTAAATATATGACTATAATGCCCTTAGCTTTATCAATAAGCCTGCATCATTCATTTTGAAGCACTGGGAAAGTTCAGATTCAGATCAAGATGACAGCTTAACTTTTCCTGCTAAACAAGCCTAACTTGTAATGGTATTTAATTGCCTCTTTAAACATATCAAGATCCTCTGTACTTTATGTTCCTTCTGAGCAAGCAGTTTCATAACATGACATACATGTCTTCATTCATTAAAAACTTAAAACTCTCCAAAGAAACCATATCACTGGACGTTGGTGGTAGGCAGGTGTTTTGAGCAAAATTTAGATAATCTCTTTCATGCATGTTTGGCAACTCACAAAGCCTTTGTTTAGCTTCCCCTTTAACATCCTTCTTTTTCTCTTGCACCCTTTCCTCCTCAATGATGCACTCCTGCTCTTCACATTCCATCTTTGCTTGGACCATTGCATTCTCCGTTTTGTCAAACCATTCCTGGAAGAATGCAATGTTGATGTTAACAAATTCTCTAATTTTGCTAAAAATAAACACAGAGGGCACTGACCCTGACTATTCCTTTAGTCATGGCTTGTTCCTAGGACCACCCACATTAGGGAAGTTGGTGAGAAGCCAATAGAAGGCAGGAAATAAAAAATAAAAACAAAAAAACACACACATTAAGAAAGTGTCTAGAAGATTACCAGAGGGCACCCTCAATGCTATATGTGTTATTATCTAGCATTTTCAGGGAATGTTGTTTTCAAAGGAACTTAGCTACGTGAAATACCTTTTCCTGTTTTTCCTCAGCATTTTGAAGGTCTTTAAGCCAAGTCTAGACCTAATCAAAATGCCAGGTAAAGTATCATATAAATAGTAACTGAGATGAATGTTGTAGAACCAAGAAATGTTCAAAGACTATCGCATTCATTTTACAAATGTTATATTTCCATAGGTTTGTAAGTAACTGTATTACTTAAGGATTAAGAAAAGAGGCATCTTCAGAAAATAAATGCAATGCAGGATAATTCATGCAAATCTCCAATGCTGAAGCTCTGACATCAAGGTAGTGGGCAGATTCATAAGAAACAAGTACCAAGTTTTCTCCCTGTAAACGACATATATTCCAACAGAGACGCACATATAGCCTGTTTTTCTTGCAGGCTATTCTCTTTTGATGTGAGGATTTATTGTTTTCATAGCAAAATGTATGTTAAAGGACTGGAGGTTTTAATGGACATTGGCAGTGTTACGTCAGGGAGCCTTAACAAGTGTGGTGGCTAGAGAAGCTGGAG